TGTATGTGTGTGTGTATGTGTGTGTGATTGTATACGTATTTATAAATTTATAATTTCTCAAATAATTGTAGAACTTTTCTGATTCACTTGTTTGTTTCTTTTTTTTTTGCAGCAAACAATGATAAGTTTTATTTGCTATTTTTTAATTTAAATTTTTTTACTAAAAAAAACAAAAAAAAAACTCCTTGTCATCGTGGTAGGAGAGAGGAAAAGAAGAGAAAGGAGGGGAAGGAAGAGAGAAAGGGGAAAAATGAGAGGGAGAAAGACAGAATATTGAAATAAATCTTTAATTTGTATATTTTCAATTTAATTAGAATGCAAGTCTTTTGAATAATTGTTTAGTACACTTTCCCGAATGCATTCCAATTTTTTTTTTTTCCTCAAATTCATTGCAATATTGATCTTTTGAAGGTTATATTTAAAGTCAGATTTTTTTCTACTGGGAGATGGAGATAATTTAGTATTTAATATAAGCAATTTTTTTCGATTCCTTTTTTCTTATTACCTGAAATTGTTTTCTGGAAAAATTCCAGGTTTTTTCATAAATTCAAATTATTGTACTTCGAATCAAATGATTATTGATAGATTTTGGGCCGAGCTATTTCGGCTTTCATCGAATCGAACCCAATGGAATATCCTTTATCCGTCATTGCTATCCATTACGGTTGATGAGATGCCATCCCGGAAACATGATGTCAATTGTAAAGCTATTCGGCTGCTTGTCAAAAATGAATCCGGAATTGTTATTGAACAAATTCTTGATGCATGTAAGTATTAAATGTTTAATTTTTATAATTCAAAAAAGTATATGATTTTCATCAATTTTTTCAGATGGAAATTCTAAAAGTATCTCTTGAATAAGCATTCAAATTTGTTAAAATTACATCGTGAAAAAAACTGCAATTGAGAATGCATTTTTTAAGGAATAATTTAAAATTATTAAAAATTTTAAAGTATATACCTTTTTTTATAAACAGGTTTATTTGACAGTTTATAATTATTTACTATTTGTTAAACAATTTTTAAACTGTTTAGAGTGTCTTTCCTCTCTCTTTT